AGCTGGGGTTGATTTTCCTTTTCTGGCTCTTTCCTTGCAGAGATTCACCAACGAGGATCACCTGGCAGTGCACAAGCACAAGCACGAGCTGACTCTGAAATTCGGCCCCGCTCGCACCGACTCCGTCATCATCGCAGGTACCCCAGCACCCCAACAATCCCAGCACCCCAACAATCCCAACAACAGCCCAACAACAGCCCAACAACAACCCCAACAACAGCCCCAACAACAACCCCAACAACCCCAACAACAACCCCAACAGCCCAACAACAGCCCAAAAACCCCAACAGCCCAACAGCCCCAACAGCCCCAACAACCCCAACACCCCAACAACCCCAACAACAATCCCAACAGCCCAACAACAGCCCAACAACCCCAACAACCCAACAGCCCCAACAATCCCAACAACCCCAACAACCCCAACAACAATCCCAACAGCCCAACAACAGCCCTAACAGCCCAACAGCCCAACAACAGCCCCAACAACAGCCCCAACAACAGCCCAACAACAGCCCCAACAACAGCCCCAACAATAGCCCAACAACAGCCCCAACAACAACCCCAACAGCTCCAACAGCTCAACAACAGCCCCATCAGCTCCAACAACACCCCAACAACAGCCCCATCAGCCCCCTCAGCCTGCTGTGAGCTGAGTTTGATCAGGCCCAAAGCAAACCCACTGCCTTACCAGCTCTTTCTTTCTTTTTTTTTTTTTTATTTTATCTTTTATGGTGGTATCAGGTTTTGTGGGGTTTGGGGGGGGTTAAGTTTTTTTTTAAGCTCTCGCCCTTTTTTATTAAAGGCTGGAGGATTTATGGCCAGCAGGGCTTTCACGTCTCTGCGTGTGCTCTGATGAACCAAACCTGACAAAGCAGCTTCCCCTCTCAGCCCAGGTGTCAATTTTCCCGAGCTTTTAGGAAGCTGCAGTTAATAAATTAAATCCCCTTAAACTCTGCTGCAGAGCCCCGTGGAGATGCAGGCTCTGTAAAACCCAAACCCCACCCAGACCCCACAGATCTTTGTCTGGAAGGTTCCAGAGCCCCTCCTGGGCGTGCAGAGGCTGTTCCCAGAGCCAGGAGAGGGTTCCTTAAATCCTGATTTAAAATCCTGGAGGGTTTTGAAGGGAAAACAAAGCTGCTGCAGGAGCCTGGCACCTTTCCCTGCTCATCCCCAGCCCAAATCCGCAGCTGAAGGGTTTGGGGGAATTGTGAATTTTGGGCTGGAAGCTGCAGGGGAGGCAGGAGGGGGTGTGGGACAGAAATGGGGACAAAGCCCCCCCGACCCCAGAGCTCCCCGAGCCAGAATTCCTGTCCCTGGGAAAGCAGGAGGGGAGGAAGCACTCGGGAACACGAGGAGCTGATCTGGGGTAAAACACAAAAAAACCCCAAACAAACCCAGTTTATCCGTGCCCAGTCCAGGACCAGTTAAACCCCCAAACCCAATTTATCCGTGCCCAGTCCAGGACCAGTTAAACCCCAAACCCAATTTATCCGTGCCCAGTCCAGGACCAGTTAAACCCCCAAACCCAATTTATCCGTGCCCAGTCCAGGGCCAGTTAAACCCCAAACCCAATTTATCCGTGCCCAGTCCAGGACCATTTAAACCCCCCAAACCCAGTTTATCAGGACCAGTTAACCCCCAAGCCCAGCGTGCCTGGCACACCCAGGGGGTGTCAGGGCCATAAATCCCTGCTGCCTCTGAGCCCTGAGATCCGGGCTCGTTTTTCCCTGGAATTCCATCGATGCCGGGGATTTTCCAGGCACCGTTTTTGTCTCCGGGATTTCCCTCTGCCCCCCCCAGGGCCCTGTGGCAGCACCTGGGCAGGTGCCTGAGCCAAGGAGGGGCAAAAGAGCCCTCCTGGCAGGGGCAGAGGGGCCTGTGGGGCTGTTTCTGTGAAGGTTTATTTTTGTGGGGTGAAGGGTTTATTTTTGTGGGGTGAAGGGTTTATTTTTGTGGGGTGAAGGGTTTATTTTTATGGGGTGAGGATTTGTTTTTGTGGGGTGAAGGGCTGTTTTTGTGGGGCTGTTTCTGTGGGATGAAAGGTTTATTTTTATGGGATGTAGCGCTGTTTTTGTGGGGTGCAGGGTTTATTTTTGCGGGGTTGTTTCTGTGGGGTGAAGGGTTTATTTTTGTGGGATGAAGGGTTGTTTTTGTGGGATGAAGGGTTGTTTTTGTGGGGTGAAGGGCTGTTTTTGTGGGGTGAAGGGCTGTTTTTGTGGGGTTGTTTCTGTGGGGTGATAGTTTATTTTTGCGGGGTGAGGGGTTGTTTTTGCGGGGCTGTTTTTGCGGAGTGAGGGGTTGTTTCTGTGCAGTTTGTTTTTGTTCCTGTGCCGTTTTTGCGGGTTGAGGGTTTATTTTTGCGGGGTGAGGGGTTGTTTCTGTGCAGTTTATTTTTGCGGGGTGAGGGTTTGTTCCTGTGCCGTTTGTTTTTTCCTGTGCCGTTTTTGCGGGTTGAGGGTTTGTTTTTGCGGGTTGAGGGTTTATTTTTGCGGGGTGAGGGGTTGTTCCTGTGCCGTTTTTGCGGGTTGAGGGTTTGTTTTTGCGGGTTGAGGGTTTATTTTTGCGGAGTGAGGGGTTGTTCCTGTGCCGTGTGTTTGTTCCTGTGCCGTTTTTGCGGGCCCGGGCGGGAGCCGCAGTGCCGTCAGGAAGGGCAGCAGCAGGAGCGGCGTTCCAGGCTTTGTTTGTGGCACTGGAATCCCGCGGCCCGGGAGGGCAATGCCGAGCACAGAACGGTCCCCAAAGAGCCCTGAGAGCTCTTAAAGCCTGGAAAAACAAGCGCCAGCAGAGAAATGGGATTTATGGGCTGGGAGCTGCGGGTGCCCACAGGGGGATTTCGCTCCGGTGGCAAAGGCAGCAGCAGCAGCAGGAGGAGGAGGAGGAGGAGGAAGGGGGGTCTGGAGTGGGGCTGAGCCATCCCAGGGATGCTCTTTGTGCTGGAAAATCCCGGCGCTGTCTGCGGGATGCATCCCTTGGAGGGATTCCGGAGGGAATTGGGAGCGCCGAGGTTCCCTGGTGCTTTTATGGGCTGGGCGATGGCCAGAGAGGGCAGGACTGAGGCGTTAATGGGGTGGAGAACGATCCCACCGGGAGCTGGAGCATTCCAGGGAATTGGTCTGGGATCGGGAACTGGCACAGGGATGGGAGGGATCCCAGGGAATCGCTGTGGGATCGGGAATTGGCACAGGGATGGGAATGATCCCAGGGAATCGCTGTGGGATCGGGAACTGGCACAGGGATGGGAATGATCCCAGGGAATCGCTGTGGGATCGGGAATTGGCACAGGGATGGGAATGATCCCAGGGAATCTCTGTGGGATCGGGAATTGGCACAGCAGGGCCAGGAACATTCCCAGGATGTCTCTGCCCGGCCCTGGGGCCGCTCCCCTCTCCTCAGTCCCTGCGTTTGTCATTTCGGGGACATCAAACTCTCCCGGCTTTCCCTCCTTGTCCGGACGGGGCAGAACCCCGGGCTGGGAGGGACGGGAATTCCACAGCCAGGAATTCACGGGAATCCTGCTGCTGACACCCCAGAAACAAATGCAGCAGGAGACGATTGTCCCGTTCCGAAGCGTCCCTGCTGTCCCCGGGCTGTCCCGGTGAGGGCTGGGCTGGGTCCAGAGCCACTGTGGGGCCTCTCCCCGACCCATTGTCGGTGTTCCAACCCGAACCAGACCAGACTCCGACCCCGACCCGGTTCCTGAAGAACTGTGAGGAGGTGGGGCTGTTCAACGAGCTGGCCAGCTCCTTCGAGCACGAGTTCAAGAAAGCGGCCGAGGATGATGAGAAAAAGGCAAGAGGCTGAGGCTGCGCTGGGAGGACTGGGCGGGACTGGGGATGCTCTTGTCAAGGGCACGGGGGGGCTCGCGTTTATTTTTGTCACTCCAGTGACTTTGGCTGCTTTCCCCAGCGGCCCCAGACCTGCAGAGCGGCTTTATTTGTTATTCCTTGGGCTTCTCACTTCGGAAAAAAAAAAACCAAAAAAACAACGGGGGGGGGAATAGAGAGGGGGAGCACCCAAAATACCCAAAAACCACCCGGGATGGGAACAAAACCTGCTCGGGGCCCAGACCCGCCGGGACTGCGGCTCGGAGGAGCCGGCACAGGGAAGGGCTCGCCCCTTCCACACCCGGCACGTCTGGAGCCGCAGCCCCGCGTTCCAAATTCCGCTTTTTCCTAACAAAGAGCCCCGCGCTCCGCCAGCTCCATCGATCCCGGCGAGCGCCGGGGGCTGAAGGACAAGGGGATCTCATCAGAAAGCTGCTAATTAAGGACATTTCCCAGCCCCCGCCCCCGGCCGGGCTCGGAGCAGCAGCAGATGCGAGCCGGGCTCGCAGCCTGGCACTCGCATTTACTAAATTGATCGATGTCCCCACATACGCTCGCAGTCAGCGGCGCTGCTCGGAAATAAACTGCGGGAGCCGAGCCGCGTAAATCTTGCCGAGATGGGGAACGGAGGAATTCAGAATTAAAACTGAAACCTGGCTCGGCAGCGCTGCCCCCCTCCCCTCGCCACTAACGGGCTCTTTAAAGCCAAATTGATCTCTCTCGTTGGTATGCGGCTGCGGCACAGCCGCTGCCCTTTGTTCTGCGGGGAGCGAGCGGCGAGCGAGCGGCGGCCGCGATTGCCGCAACGGGATCGCCCCGGGGCGACCACCCGGCTCCGGGATCGCCCAGGGGCGACCACCCGGCTCCGAGATAGCCCAGGGGCGACCACCCGGCTCCGGGATCGCCCAGGGGCGACCACCCAGCTCCGGGATAGCCCAGGGGCGACCACCCAGCTCCGGGATGGCCCCAGTGTGACCACCCAGCTCCGGGATGGCCCCGGTGTGACCACCCAGCTCCGGGATGGCCCCGGGGCGACCACCGAGCCCAGTGATGGCCCCGGGGCGACCACCCAGCCCCGGGCTCTGCCAGCCCCTCAGTCTGGGCTCGTGGGATTGGTTCCAGCCTGGCTAAACCGAAATATTGCTGGGGAATCATTGCCAGGAATCGTTGCTGAAGGGTCCCTGCCCGTGCGGCTTTCAGGACAGGATTCTTTGTCCCTGGCCATCGCCCGGCCCGGGCTCGCCCCCCCGGCGCCCTTAATTAAAACCGGGGAGCGTCCCCGGGGGCGCTTTAATGGGGCTGGAGCTTTGGCTGAGGTTAATCCCGGTCCTTTGTGTTAATCCTGCTCCTCTCTGTTAATCCCGGTCCTTGGTGATTCCGGCTCTAAAAGGGCACGGAAATGGTTCTGGCTGCAGCTTCGGGGAGAGAACTGCCCGGGGAGGGACATTTCCCCCTAAAACACCCCAAAATGAGGGGCTGGAGCCTGATTCCCCCCTAAAACACCCCAAAATGAGGGGCTGGAGCCTGATCCCCCCCTAAAACACCCCAAAATGAGGGGCTGGAGCTGCATTTTTACCTAAAACACCCCAAAATGAGGGGCTGGAGCCTGATCCCCCCCTAAAACACCCCAAAATGAGGGGCTGGAGCCTCACTCTGCTCTAAACCATCCACGTTTACCCTTTAACTGCTGGGATGGATGGATGGATGGATGGATGGATGGATGGATGGATGGATGGATGGATGGATGGAGGGATGGATCAGGGATGGATCAGGGATGGATCAGGGATGCAGGGAGGGACAAGGGCTGATTTGGGGACAGTTTCCCCCTCCTGGACAGGAGCAGGGCCCAGGTGATTTGTAAGGCCTGGAGCTCCTTCCTTGCTCTGCCATTCCCTCCCTGCTCTCTCCGGTCTGGGACAGGGACAGCTGAGCCCTCAAAAAATCCCTCGGTTGTCCCCCCAGTTCAGCTGTTCCCCCAGTTCACCTGTCCCCTCCGTTCAGCTGTCCCCTCTCCTCGTCCCCTGCCTGCAGTGGGGCAGAGGCCCTGCTGGATCCCGGGCTGGTGGCAAGTGGCCAACTCCAGGCATATGGTTGGGTTTTATTTTAATGGGGCGCTCATAGATATTTAATAACTTGCATGGCTCTTTGTTTGCTTTTGATAATCGGGTAATAAAATAATTCAGGCTGATTTATACAATGTTTTACAGCTCTTCTGTGAATGAAAGTGCCTCCTGTAACTCGCAGGCATTTGGCTTGGGTACCTGTTCTCCTTAGCAGGGCCCTTTTTGTACCAAGAACCGTAATTTCAGCCCGTGGGGGAGTCTGTGTGTTCCTGAGAGCCCCGAGCTGCTGCCATGGGGGGCCGCCTGCTCCTCCCGGGCCTCCAGCCCCAGCCCTGCCTCGGGCTCCCAGATGCTGCTCCAGTGCCAATAAATCAATGCTAATATACTAATATTAATGCTAATACTAATACTAATGCTAATGCTAATAATTTGGCAAGAGCTGGGAGCTGGAGCCTCTTGGCAAACAATGCAAGCTGAGTGTCCTGTCCGGAGCTGTGTCCCCTCCAGTTCTGAGTGTCCCCTCTGTCCTGCAGGGCTCCGGGGCCCTGGACATGTCCCTGCCCTCCACCCCGGACATCAAGATCAAGGAGGAGGAGCCGCTCGAGGTGGACTCGACCCCGCCCGACAGCCCCGCGTCCCGGCCGCGCTCACCGCAGCCCCGCGACAGGGACAGGGACAGGGACAGGGACAAGGACAAGGTGGGGCTGTCCCCGGGGCTGCGGGGCTCCCTGAGCCCTGTGGGACCGAGCTGTGGGGCCGAGGCCTGGGCTGGGCATTTCTGGGGGCTGATTTGGGCTTTTTGGGGCCTGAGTTGGGACAGGCAGAGGGGCTGGGGCTGCGTTTCCCCCTCCAAAGCCGTGTGCTCCCCTGAGTTTCCGTGACAGAATTTTCTGAGCCCGCAGGACGGAGAGTCCCGGTGACCCGGGTGGCAGTGCACGGGTAATTAGCGGCCCCTGTTGATGAGCTGTTAATGAGCAGCCCCTGCTCTGTGTGCTGTGTGTTCCCCTGCAGGAGCTGCCCTCCAAGCCCGTGATCCTCTCCACGCCCACCCCCACCATCGTGCGGCCGGGCTCGCTGCCGCTGCACCTGGGCTACGAGCCCCTGCAGCCCACGCTGCCATCGCCCACCTCGGTCATCACCCAGGCGCCCCCGGCCAGCAGGCAGCTGGG